CAGTCTGAGAGAAATATATGTTTCACTCTTTTCTAGGTGATGGTGCAAATGATGTAGGTATGCTCCAGGCAGCTGATATTGGAATTGGCATTTCTGGACAAGAAGGTATGCAGGTATGCATAATAATTGAGGAATACCCTCTTGCCCTTGGCAACAATTGCTAAGATACATATTCAGAATTTTAAGCAACTGTATTCCGTATAAAAAGTGAACATAAGTATCATCTGCTCTCTGTTATAACAAGGTAAGCAATATCCTTGAGACCTCAGAGTGAGATGATTTGCATTTATAATGAATCAAATCATTTGTATGCTTACCTTGATTATTCATTTAGGCATATGAACTTCTCCCATACAAATGTCCAAAGCTATAATGTTTCTGAACAAAGACATTGTGCAGCAGAAAAAAAATAAAGAAGTTGATTAACAATAAGAGCATCATCTGGAAACTCTCTCTCCATCCCTTCCCCCATCCTTCCTAAGGGGGTTAATTGTTTGATAGAAACATCACTGGAAGCATCCAAATAAAAATAAGCTTACTTTTCTTGTTGATTGACATTTATGGACTGAGGCTGAATCAGAACTACGCTGTAATCCAGTAAAACCGTAGATGGGTTGTCCAGCCCCTACCACTAAGTCCATATTCTCTGCACAGGACTATACTTGATGTGGAATTGTACTGGATTACAAGCAGTACTGGAGAATTTTTTCCTCAAGAAGTATTCAGTGCTTTGGGTTGTTTCATCCAAGGCTGTTCTTGTTATTTTAGATTCAGATGGGTGATTTGTGGCTCCAGAGCTACAAGAGGTTCTCCAAGTGCTTGTTTGTCACTCTCTTCTGTTGCCGGATGCCATTTGGAGAAGAGAAACATGCACAAACAATAGGGCATTAAAATAGACGAGATGGCTTTCACCCAAAAATTAAGGAGAATTGGGCAAGTCTAGTTCCATCCATGTGTATAATATATTTCCACCCTTTTTTCCTCATTATTTTAGAGTGATGTGAAGCCTTCAGCTATCCAAAATTGATTACCTAAGTCTAACTGTCATAAGATCACTTTCTTATGAATTAAATTGTCACACTGGGCTTGGAAATGGAGAGAGCTGCAGTCATAATGAAACTCTAGCACATTCATCTTGTAACTTATCTTCCAATTATATTAGCGTGTAACTTCAGAATTCCCGGTTAGCTTTGGTGATTCTTCTCTGGGAATTCCAGAAATGATAACCAAACACATCTAAAGAGCAAAAGTTTGGAAACGCTACCATTGAAGAATTTAACATTAACCCAGAGACACATTATATTTCCCATTCTTGCTTTTTATTATTTTGACTTTTGCCTGCAGTCCTGATTTATATTGGATCAGTAAAACTTGAAAATATAAATTGTATCATTTTATATATGTTCTTCATTTCAGGCTGTCATGGCCAGTGATTTTTCAGTATCTCAGTTTAAGCACCTCAAGAAGTTACTTCTAGTCCATGGACACTGGTGCTATTCTCGCTTGGGAAAGATGGTGCTATACTTTTTCTATAAAAATGTGGTAGGTGTTTTNGTGGTAGGTGTTTTAACTGCTTATTTCATCTTGCATGCCATCCATTATTGCTTGTAACAATGGGGACAATTGTTGTTTATAGATTACTTTACTGGAGCCCTGCCCCAGCAGCTTGCAAGTTCCAAAAATATAATAAGGAAATATTCCATAATGTCATTCTTGAAATATTCAAGAGTGAAAAAATCTTTTGGTTAAATGGATTGATTCATAAATGGATTCATTTTCACTTAGTTTCTATAAAATAAGTTTCATTCTCTAATTTCCTATTTAAAATGTTATGTTGACAATCCTTAACAGAATTGTGGCTCCATTGCTGCACATAAAATGGCTGATTGTAATCATGGCAAGTAGAAGTTGATCCTGACTTGAACTCTACAGGCTGACAACCACTTAATTTGATGGGAAATCTATGCTACCAATAGATGACCACACTAGCCAGCTTTAGCCACATTGTAGGAAATTCAATTGGGCATCTATGCTCTCAGAGTATAGATATTTTAATCATGCAATTAACATGCACCTCTTGGGATCTGGACCAACTAGCACCTCCAAAGGGAGGGGGAGTTAAAAAAAACACCTGATAGTAATCATGGCTACATAATCAAAGCCAGAGTTCCTTTGCATGTGTATTGCAATGTACTCTATATACAAAATTGCATATATGTATATATATATATGTGTGTATATACACAAACACACACACACATATAAAGGGATGAGCTTCGATTGCATTGCTACAAGTATCATTTGGCCTTTTTTGACTCCCACTGTGAGCATTGGTGTCCAAACCTACAATTTTATATGGACTGAGAGAAAATCAAATCTCTTTGGGGAAATGCCTAAGTTGTATCATCTTAATAAATGTCATTAATTTTCCCTCTATTATTTCATTTCCCAATGTCCCATCACACTGTCAAAAACCATGGAGATTTTCTAAAATGGTATTTAATTTTTATTTTGTCACTAATAACTCTTGGGGTGGTGGTTAATATTAGGTTTGATGCAAGAAAAAAGTATGATTCCCATTACCAAAGAATAATGGATTTCATTACCTACATTGTTACAAATAAAAAAGATAAGGGTCTCCCCCTTCTAGTCATGTCTGACTCCGG